AGAGTATAACCAGGAAGCGAGGTAGGAGGGCAAAATAGGTTTAGCGCCACCGCAGCACGGGAGGGAGAATTACGCCCAGGAGCAAATGGATAAAAATCGACCGGAGGAAAAAAAAAACATGAATCGATTCTCTTCCAGACGTGTCGATGCATCGAATCGTCGGCTGTTGGATCGATGCATCGATACAAAACGATTATTATTTACACCCCTACCAGAGATTAGTCCTTATTTTTAACCATCTTGAAAAGATCATGTCTTTAAGGTTGGTGAAAGATCGCTAGATGTTCTCCAGCGCTACCATCCATGTTTACTTCCATAAACACAGAGCACACTCGCTTTTTAACGTCATAGTGTCCTCCACTGCGCATGCGGGACACTTAAACTCTATGAATGCAGTTCACACAGGAGATCACATACAAGTCGCATATATTTGGAAAGATGAACAATGATGGGGAAAAAAAAAACAAAAAAATTGGAATTTAGCATTAAGGCCTGTAGTGTGAACATTACTGTTATTAGCCTCCTTCCCACAGACGGACTCTCTGTTCTCACCACAGCAAATGGATTCAGGCGGGACTAAAGTGGGCAGCATGCAGTGATGTAATCAGCGACATATCATCTTCCTCAGAGAAAACGATAGAGGAAAAACTCTGGCTGACTGAGAACGACTGAGGGAAACAGACGTTGATGGAGAGAAATCAAATACCGGAAAAACCTCATTCCATTACAACCGACCAACATTTCTCTGCGCGCTGGTGATTAGGCTGAAATAAAGAATCTATGAAACTCATCTAGTTCACCTCCCAGTCTGGCTGGCAGAACTTACTAATTCTGGAAACATAATCTTATAAAAGATGTCCCACGTCTCTTTGATGCCGAGGCTTTCACTCACATGGCAGCTCGCTGCTTGTAGATCTCCACCAGGCTGCTCAGGTCATTGATGTCCACCACGGGGGGTCTGGCGGCGACGGCCTGAGGCTGCACCCTCCTGTCCCGTGACTCATTCAGGTAGGACACGATGCCGCTCAGCTGCTGGCCTGCTCTGGCCTGCCGGTAGCTCTTCACCAGGTACCTGC